CAAGCAGTTTTTGCGCCATGACCGGTCACTTTGAAAGGCCCATTTAGGAACGAACCTTTGCATTCTTTTTTAGTTGAATTTATTAGTCCTTTCGAACAAGTTATTCTTTCAGAACTTTATTCCCCTGAAACAAAACCAAAAAGAGGTTGTTGTCAAGGCTGCTAAGTTACGAACAAAAATCTCCGCTTTGTCCTGGATAGAAAACATGATTTCCAGCTTTCTGGGAGTAAGGGAGTGTGAGAGAACGTGTGAAAGTAAGTAATGAAAAGGATCAAGAGGATAGGAATAATAGAGAGAGTGAAGGAATATAATAAACCATTCCACTCTCAGTGTAGCGTTCTTACACCGTATCTGGCGATCAGGAAGAACCGAAGCAGAAGTCGAGGAGGCCGCACCAGAGTAGGAGACTGAGTATCAGTGTCGAAATTCAAGCACAATGGAGGTGAAGACCGAAACAGGAGGCAGCGCCGGGAAACCAACGGCGGTTGACCCTGGTGTAAAAATATACCGGGGTCGATCCCCAGAACCTCATGGGAGCGTCATGGAGGACGTGGTGGAAGTATTCTACAACTTCCACGTAGTGAGGAAGGTTACAGAGGAAGGGGACTATGCCGGTATCGTGCTGAAGGTCCTGGGGTCGGGCACCTCGGAGGTGCATTATGGCGTGAGGGTAAGAAAAACCCATGCCGATCAGGTGAAGCCGAGAGCGATTCTTTGGGAAGCAATAGACGATAATTTGCTATGGTAAGGAAAATGGATCGCAGCGCTCCCAGTCGAAGTACAGAAAAGAACTAACCAAGCAGGCAGGGCAGAACAGAACTTACTGAGCAAGGTCGGGTTGCTCGCGGAAGAAACGGCAAGCAACCGAAAGAACGAGAGATTTCCCGAAAAATAGGAAGAGGAAGAAGATAAAAGCGATAATAGCAGGGAAGGATGGGAACAAAAACAAGCGAGATCACCCAAGACCAGGGTGAAAATCGTGTCGAGGACGTGGTCAGATCAGTACGACCCCCCCCCTCAGATCGGGATCTTGATACGACCCCTCTAACTTTGATTTGATGTGAATAAGCGAGTTCCATCAATGTACAGCAAAGCGTTTCGGTTGCAGCGCGGTTTATCCGTGGGTCAGATTTGCCGAAAACCCCGTTCTTTATAACTTCTCATAATGAAACCGTCGAAATCTACGCTCTCGATGTAAAGGTTCCATTCCCACGCAATTTGCGATGAGTTTTGAGGCAGTATTTGACAGCGTCAGGTTGGTCCATAAAACAGCTATTGCACTCGAGAGATAGGGTCTCTCAAATTTTGTCGAGGAGCGTCGAGGATGCGGAAATTTTCATGCGAGTTTTTGCCACTTAAAAGGCAATATCTCTAATTTCGCAAGATCTCGGAAAAGCGAAGACAGTTTTGGGAAGCGGAAGGTTTGCGCTTTCTAACAGTCTGTTTAGCTTCCTTCTACATTTCTAGTTGGGGAGATATTTGCGTCGAGGGTCTATCAAGGATGATTCCCTCGGCCGCTGAAAAGCCGCTCCCTTCTTCAGACAAGCCATTGTAAATGTAATCCGATGAAACAGCGCTCGAATGCTTTTTTTTTTTTTTTTTGTCTAATAAATTCTCCCAACACAAGGGTCAAGAAGAAGGGCAATCGTCATCGTTCGATCTCGCCTCAGTCGCCATGCATCCGTTCTCCACAAAAGTTGTAGAATCTATTGAAAGGTGTTATTTATATGATGATGACCTGTTGACAAACTGAAATGTAAAAACTACATTTCGTAACTCCCGTAACCTAAGGAACAGCTTCATTCGCCCATGGTCTTTCCAGAACTCTTGCCGAATTGCGACAGCTCCCTAACAAATGACTCATTTTCAACGAGGTATTAAGGGCGAGAGAGCGGGCCTAGATAAAGGAGTGCCTCTACAGCACGTGTACACATTGCGGAGATGCACTTTCATTCCTTGTACTGCTTTCAAATACGTCCTTCTCATAAAGGTAAAGGAATGGAGCGACTGGACCTGCAAAGAATATTTTATCTCATGTTTTCTCACATATCCTTGTTTTCTGCTGCGCTACACCCTCTCTCTCCTATCTGACGTTACTGACCCCAATGAGTACGACCCCCCATGACCCACCCTGACAAGTACGACCCCTCCTGTCGAGGATTTCCTCGACCGATATTCACCCTGATCAAGAAATAGATATGGATAAAGAGTGAGGGTATGAAGTGTGCTATTCTCTGAATTGACCATCCCACTCCTAGTGTGTATTGCGTGTCTCAACTTCAACTCTGAGCCTGGTCTGATGCTGTCCATTGCTCCATAAAGGTACTATTACCCTTACTCCTACCTTTTGAACCTTGCTTACAGTGGCATATTTACCAACTTTTACACAGGCTGTAACTTCATTGATAGCATGTTGGCCGTTTAAGGCAGCATTTTTCTCAGCCGAGACTCCAGCCCAACTCTTGCCTGACCTTTTTCTTTTTTCAAGCTCGTGACCACATTCAGATCGTGAGCCGTGGCGTAAAACAGCTCTCAGTTAGCGAACCGCAAATCAGTAAAAAAAACAGCGCGACACAAGTAGACGGCACATAATCACAAAACTCACCACAATCGTGCAACCAGTAATTTGTTCGATGCGTCGCTTGTTCGTACCGCGAGTTCCAATGAGGCGAGGAGCATCTGATAGACTCACAAAGAACTTTATACTTTTACGTGGTTGCTCTTCTATAAGAGTTTTATGCTGGTCTTCAACAACTACAGCTGCCGATGGTGTTGACGATACCGATCCAGGTGACAGACGACATGATGCATTCGCTACAGAATTGAACGAGCACGACTGATTAATTGAATTTCCTCGACCACTCTGAAAAGTGAGTGACTTACAATAGGGAATATTCAAAACGTCCAAATCGACAACCAGATAAGCCTTTCAGATTATAAACGTTTTGAGACGCTCAAATCTCTACATCTGCTAAACGAAGGGATTTATAAAACGAGAAGGTGCAGCGTTAGGGTTCCGGGCTGACAAGCATCGGGCCGCTAGACCAGTTCCTCGGCGAGCGACTTTTTTGCTCTCAACAGCAGCAAAGCTGTTAGAGTACTTGATCCTCATAACTCCCCATCGAACTTTGCCCAGAAATGTTAATATGAAAAGGCTTGGAAAAACTGCAAGCAGTAGAGAACACATTCGATGAAGGTAGCCTGGAAGATGGCGCGGGCGAAAAACTTCTTTAACTCTGTTCAAAGGGTCGCTTAGCAGACAAGGAAACTAATTTTCACCTCAATGCCTCGAGACGTGTATACACCTTATTTCAATCGATCGGGTTGACCATCTTACCTTCTTTTGTCAGGGTAAACACATACTTTTGGACATTCTTACTTTCAATGCTCACAGCAATTAGGGAATCTTATGACACCCACCGTTGATGACTGAGAATTGGTGTGTTCAGTCGTCTGAAGATCTGTACCGGTCGGCATTGGTGGCGGCAAACGTGATGTATCCGGATTCTGAAAAAGAAGCAGAGTTCAGTTCATGCAATCTTTTCCACACAAAATGCCGTTTCCAGGTACCAGAGCTTGCAATCAAGGTGATAAAAAATTACCCATTCCTCAATCACTGGTTTCTTCTCCGACGTTAAGGTGTCGTTCGCAATGCTTGAAATTTGGTTATTATCTGAAATTTGATTAAAGTTGACCTGTTATTTTCCATTCATTACATTTAGAACAACTCATGAACGGGAATATTTGAAATAACGCTTTACTTGAATCATGAGCAATTCCAAGTGCTGAAGACGGCCTTGTCCCGGGTTCGCCAAGACCCTGTTCCATGAACATTCTCTTGATTGCCATGTGTCCTTCTATTACACTTTCTACACATCCATATAAGCAAACACGACCTCCATGATCCATCTGCAAACGAAACAACATCAAAACTCTGAAAGGAACACCTGATACATCCAGAGAATCTGAATTTCTCTTCGTGTCCCTTATTTTAGATGAAATTTGACCATTTTTTTCATGATCTGCACTTTTTACCCTTGAGCGACGAGAAGACAGAAGACAAGACAGGTGATGAGTAAAAGCGTGAAATGGCTAACCATGAGCTGGATAACTTATCGTTTTTCGACGTCAAGCACAGGGAACAGCTTTATGCAAATTCTCAAAGGCCTCAAGATTCCGCTACGGATAAGACAACACCTTGGTCAACTGGGCCATCAACAGCAACTCTCCAATTGAAATAGCTGCTAAAAACTGAGAACGGTGCTGAGAGGCGAATGCGAGTGTTTTGCGGGGCAGATTCCGTTGATGGCGTGGGCGCCGAGATTACTGTATCGAAAAAGAAATAGGGTGCGCGCTCGGAACTAGAGTAAGCCAGTGATGGTCGTGCCCGACAATGCCATCCTCAAAGATCTTTAGAAAACAGGATGCTTGGAGGATGGAGTATATTCGCGCGGTTCCATCACGTTCATGTCCGCAGTTGCGTGCGCCGGCTTCTATATCTGACGTAATCTCGGCCACCCCATCAATATGAAGGCGTGGGCCCAACACTCTACGATTCCTGAGCTGGCAACCTTTAAGTGAACCACACTAGTTGTCCACATCAATAGAACATATTAGCTTAGCGACACTATCTCGAATCTGTACAGTGGACAATTGGAACAGTTGGGACCATCCTAGAAAATGCGCGACCGACCACAAGATCGCGCAAGCATGCAATTGTCATTACATTCCCTAAGATTAGATATGCGAAAAAGTGATGGCTCCATCGTTATGATCGCGAACTATCATCGCACACTTTAACATCTTATTTGCGACGTTACACCCAACGCTTGGCTCTGTAAGTAACCCCTCGAACACAGGAAAAAAGAGATTTACCACTCTGCAACATATAACAGAAACAGGGAATCACCGCAAAACAAATAAAACTCGAGAAACTCACAAAAATATCACAAAGCCCAGCACTTCGCAGTACTGCTAGCTTGGTTTCGTGAAGCAGAGCATACTGCACTGCAGTGAGGTAGAGTTCCTGGGATGCCGTGCAGCGTGCATTCAAAGAAGAAAGTCGTAGACATCTACAAAATTAAGCAGGCAATAAGGAAAATTGCACGTCTTGCTCGTCATCAGTACCACAATTCAGAGGAAATTTACAAAAACAAGCCAGAATTTTGGAAGAAAAATCAGGGGGGTTTCGAATCCATTCGATACCCAAGATAGAGCACCCTCTGCATGAGCAACCGCACGAAGCACGTATCAGGGGAACTTGATGATCTCAATTTGGAAAACGTACTTGCTGAATTCAACGTCATGATATAATTTTCTAAGTGCCATCTCGATAGGCTTCACGGGAACACCTGGCATATGCGTTATTCCTATTCCATCTGGCTCCAACTTAATTTCTACGTTTGACGTGTCTTCATGCAACAGTATTTCATGCATTCCTATACGCCCTGAAAACCAAACATTAATTCAGCTCTTCATTTAGCTTCTGCTTAACTCGAATATTCTTGAATTCTGATTGGAGCTGGCTATTCGTCACAACAGGATCAGGAGAGAAAAAAGAAAGTTGGATTAAAAACCGAACCGAGTCTATAATTTCAGACTGAAATTAGCTCCAACTTTTTAACAGAGACCGCGATAAACTACAGACCAAAAATGAGAGCAAAAGCGCAGAAGTTCACGAACAAGGTTTCTAAAACCACAACCTTTTTCGTTTCTTCTCTCTCTTCCTTTCATTTATTGTGTTTAGGTTTTGCCTTTT